CCTGTATGGGACTCTCTGTGCTTCCTGGACTTGATCAACTATTTCCTTTCCCATATTAGGGAAGTTTTCAACTATAATCTCTTCAAATATTTTCCCAGTCCCTTTCTTTTTCTTATCTTCTTCTGGGACCCCTATAATTCTAATGTTGGTGTGTTTAATGTTGTCCCAGAGGTCTCTGAGACTGTCCTCAGTTCTTTTCATTCTTTTTTCTTTATTCTGCTCTGCAGTAGTTATTTCCACTATATTATCTTCCAGGTCACTTCTCTGTTCTTCTGCCTCAGTTATTCTGCTATTGATCCCATCTAGAGTATTTTTAAATTCATTTATTGTGTTGTTCATTGTTGCTTGCTTCCTCTTTAGTTCTTCTAGGTCCTTGTTAAATGTTTCTTGCATTTTCTTTATTCTATTTCCAAGGTTTTGGATCATCTTTACTATCATTATTCTGAATTCTTTTTCAGGTAGACTGCCTATTTCCTCTTCATTTGTTAGGTCTGGTGGGTTTTTATCTTGTTCCTTCATCTGCTGTGTGTTTTTCTGTCTTCTCATTTTGCTTATCTTACTGTGTTTGGCGTCTCTTTTTGCAGGCTGTAGGCTCGTAGTTCCCATTGTTTTCGGTGTCTGTCCCCAGTGGCTAAGGTTGGTTCTGTAGGTTGTGTAGACTTCCTGGTGGAGGGGACTAGTGCCTGTGTTCAGGTGGATGAGGCTGGATCTTGTCTTTCTGGTGGGCAGGATGACATCCGGTGGTGTGTTTTGGGGTGTCTGTGGCCTTACTATGATTTTAGGCAGCCTCTCTGCTAATGGGTGGGGTTGTGTTCCTGTCTTGCTAGTTGTCTGGCATAGGGTGTCCAGCACTGTAGCTTGCTGTTTGAGTGAAGCTGGGTGCTGGTGTTGAGATGGAGATCTCTGGGAGATTTTTGCCGTTTGATATTACGTGGAGCTGGGAGGTCTCTTGTGGACCAGTGTCCTGAAGTTGACTCTCCCACCTCAGAGGCACAGCACTGACTGACTCCTGGCTGCAACACCAAGAGCCTTTCATCCACACGGCCTGTCTGTTGTGAAGCAGTTGTACCTTTTGACAATGCAAAAGACTTATTTAAGAGTTCCTGCCCTTTGGCACTTATAATAACATCACCTCTGGGAGTTGATTTCTAGTGTACGGACCCTGTTGGCTCCCAAACATCGATTTGTTGCTCCAACTTTCAAGCTCTGGGGAAGCTGGTGCCACTTTGGGGAATTTTGAAGGGAAAGATCCTCAGGACAAGCTGTCCCGGCAGCTGCTAGGGCCTTACCCCCAAATTCCCCAACCAGGGCCGGCTGGCCACAAGTAGCAAGGCTCCTGGCTGGCTGCGCCAACATTTGTTAAGAGTCCAAGCTCGTGCTGCTCACCGCACTACAGGACAATAAATGAAGAAATGAGTTGCTGGGGCGAGGAATAGTGACTTTGTTCAGAAATCCAGCAGACCAAGAAGATGGTGGCCTCACGTCCCACAGAACCATCTTGCCTGGGTTAAAATCAGGCTCCTTTTATCAAGCATGGAATTTTGATTTCATTATTTCATTAAGCAGATAGTCACCAAGCTCCTAATATGTGCAAAGCCTTTTTACTGAGAGCTGGATTGCAACGGAGTAATGAACGAATCCTTCCCTGCAGGAGATCACAACCTATTAGAGAAAGCAAAAGCCGTTCAACACTATAGGAACACACTGAAGGGGGATGCACAGACTCCCAGAGGAGGAGGGGAAAGACCAAGGAAGTCACCTCTGCCTGATACCCAACCAAAGCTCCAATTCTCAAGACAGTCTGGAATAATGGGCAGGTCCCAGGTTTGAATGCTGAGAAACCTGGGTTCAGTTTCCCCTTTGGCCACTTAATAGTTGTGCAAGTTTGGCTAAGTCAGCATCTCTCTGAACTTCACGTTGTCGTTCTGTAAAAGCAGGGACATACCCATGCTGCAAGGCTCTTGTAAGGATTAAGTGAGCATTCATCCCAGGATCTGGACCAGAGAGTGCGTTCAAAGGATGGTAACTTCCTTGTGTCATTAAACCAACAGTATACCTAGGCGTAGTATCTTTTTAAGGAAGCTGAGGATAACCTGCTCTCGAGTGAGTCACTTCCAATGAGAATCATATTTTTCATGTTTGAAAAGATCTGTTAACCAGTATTGCATTCAGAGCTTCCAAGCTCATAAGAAATCCAAGTAGTAATGAAAATAGCTCCAGCAAGTTGAGATTCCCCCATGTGCCAGGGACTTCACGTACTATAGTGGATGTTGTAATGCTGCTTCCAAATCTCTCATTAGAACAGGGGCACTCATTCCCCCAGCCACCTGGAATGTTGACGGTTGACCACTCTCAGTCTTCCTTGGAGAAATGCCCTCCATTAAAAGGGACCACTTCATCCAAGTTTATGTCCCTTCCCCAGGGATGTCTTACGGCCTATGACTGGCTCTGTGGGGATACGAAGACCTGACACCCTTATCTTGATTTGGAACAACTCAGAAGGACCATCTTAGTTCCAGGGCTTCCCGTGGGATCAGCTGAGGGCTTTGCTACAACGGCATGGCGATCTACCTTCTCCCTCTGCCCAACCCCTCTTTGCTCTTGCCCTCATAAGAGAACACCCCAAAAAACCTCCTACATGTCAGTCTCTGCCATTAAGAGTGATTTCTGGTGAACCTGACGTAAGACAAATGCATTGTCTCATTAAATCCTTATCTTTTTTTAACCCTGTGAAGGGGAAATCAGTATTCACAGCTTTCACAGGATATAACTGAGGATTTGTTTTCTTGTCCAAGTTTACAGAGCTGGTGGGTAGCGGAGTGAAGATCTGAATACATGTCTTGCTGACTCTATTCTCTTTATCCCTGTGCTGTGTAGCTTTCCTAAAGTAGTGGGATTAGCCAAACTCAGCCCTGGGACATAATTCAATATCCATCCCTCAGTCTTTAGTGAGAATAAATACAAGAATTATCCACTTAAACAGCATGACTGTGCTTTTTAAAAGAAAAATCTGTAGTTGATACTGACGTTCAGTGCCTTGCACAAGGACCCACGTGACATGTTTCTGCTCGGGCTTAGTTCCAGAGGGGAAAATATGGCTTTGGAGATCGATTTGCATATCTCCCCTTGCCAGAAATTTAAAATATGGAATCCAACAGACTTTTTCTTTTTTTGCTTTAGCTGCCAAGAATTTTAAGGCCAACTTCAAATGTGGTCATTTCCTTTTCTCCCAGCCAGATGCTATCTACTCCCAATGCTTTGCACATAGAGTCCTCTTTCATCCTCACCAAAACCATATCGTCCACTGTGCTTTTATTTAGGAACTCATTCTATACGATGATATAAATCATAACATGTGTATGACTTAGAGAAGATAACATTGCCTGCCATGCCCATATCCTTTCCAGGGAATCTTAGATCCTCAGGGCAGCCAGGTAGGGTTTGATGTGGCCCTGCCTCTCTGACCATTGCCCATTGGACCACAGCTGGGTAGCAGAGGCAAGACGAACCCGACCATTGGTTAGCCAGCAGGGTCTGATGGGACCTGACAAAGAGGTTGCTGCCAAACCCACAGGATGTCTATTAATTGAGTCCCTCTTTGGAAAATTTAAATTGCCTACATGGAAAGATTTTGTTACTTGGTAGTGAGGTAGAGAGAAGCAGATGTAGGGAGAGAAGCCAAGTCATGCTAATTTTGAAACAATTTAAGATCTCCTTCTGCTGAGGTCTCTAGATCTGCCATAAATCTAGAACCACTCTCCAAGTCCAGCTTTGAGGAACCTGGTCCTATTTGAACTCTTTTTTTCCCCCATTTCCCTCTGTGAAATTCTACCTTCACTATATTGCTACATATATACACTCAGCATTTACACCCAATATGCAGCCACCCTGAATGGGCTTCTGCTCCTTGACCCCAAAGAATATATGTAATATATGTATGTGTATATGTGTATGTAAACCACATATGGCTGTGTAAGTGTGTATGTGTGTGTGTGGAGGGGGGGTCTTTGTTTGGCCTACACAAGCTTTCAAGAACCAATTTAAACCATCATTTCCAAATTGGTTGATTACAATAAAAATGTAAATTTTCAGCCTCTCCTGATGAAAACCTGAAGTCCTTGCACCACTTACCTTTAGACCCATTTGACAAGAGCTGGCTAGAGCTGAGTTGCACCTGCTTCATTTTCATAGAGCCTTTAGTACCCAGTTCACCCCAAACTCCATCTTTCCTTATTATATCCCAACATTAAGGCATCTTCCATTGTATAAGTGCTGCTTTTCTTTTAAAGGTGCTACAGATTTCTTTGAATCCATCTCTCTCTCTCTCTTTCTTTCTCTCTCTCTCATACAATAAAACAAAACAAAACGCAACCAAGGCCAGGGGGCCAGCATGCTATTTCCCTTATACTCAGCCAGTGCTTCCGAGGGATATAATCTGCCTCCCCACTGTGGGGTATTAGTGAGTGACCCCTGTTCCAAGGGGGATGCCTGGGTGACAGAAACAAAAGCTTTTTTTATATTTTAAATTTGAATGTTTCATCATTCTTTACTAGGACAAGTGAGGCACTGGCTAAGCACTTTATCTACATTGATTTATTTCATTTTCACAACAATGAGGTGGGTTCCGTTACTATTCCTATTTACAGGTGATGTAGCCAAGGCCCAGAGGCATTGAGTGACTTGTCCAAAGTCCATGGCCGGTAAAGGTGGATCCAGGATTTGAACCCAAGTCTCTGTCAGTCCTAAGGGCCTGACCCTTAGGCACTAGGCTGAACTGCCTCTCACGTCTGACTTGTCTGTCTCCACTGGCAGCTGACACCATGACTGGCACATTGTAAATGCTCTGCGAATGTGTATAGCTAAGCGAGAACAGAGGACCTGGGGTCACGGGGCGGATGGCTTGTGTGCACCTGTCTCTGTTCCTGCCCTGCAGCATCAGTGGCAAGACACCTGTACCCTAAACTCGTGGAGAAAGTAGCTCTCTCTCTGTTTCCCCACAGGGAGCAGCTTTGTGGTGAGTGAAGGGAGCTACCTGGACATCTCCGACTGGTTAAACCCGGCCAAGCTGTCCCTGTATTACCAGATCAACGCCACCTCCCCATGGGTGAGGGACCTCTGCGGACAGAGGACCACAGATGCCTGTGAGCAGCTCTGCGACCCAGAAACCGGTGAGCCATGAGCAGGGATGGGGATAGAGGGAGGGAGGGTGTCGGCTGGAAGATGGTCTGCACTCCTTCTGCCTGAAGAATCATGGCTTCTGAGTGATTGACAAGGGGCTTTATGTAAAGGTCCATCCATCCCACTGGGGGTTAAACTATGTGCTGCCATTGCCGGACAACAAAGCAAATACTTATAAAACCACAGCATCTCAGAAAGGACCACAGAGAACATCTAGTCCAATTTCAGCAAAGCAAAGTGTCTGAATGTCACCAGACATCCCTGAGCTTAGATCCTATCTATCAATACCTTTCACTAGCTGGGTATTCTTTATCATTTTTTTTCATTTTTATTGAAATATAATTGACATATAACATTGTATAAGTTTAAGGTGTATAATGTGATGATTTAATACACATATAAATGATTACAGCAATAAGGTTCATTAACACTTCCATCACCTTACTTTTTTTGTGTATGTGGTGATAGCATTTAAGATCTACTCTCTTAGGAGTTTTCCACATGTAATACCATATGGTTAACTGTTCACCATTCTGTACATTAGATCCCCAGAACTTTTTCACCTTAAATGGGGAGATGTTGGCTGTAGGGTACAAACTAGCTGGGCATTCCTTAGCAAGATACTTTCTCTCTCTGAGTACTAGAGAAGGAAAGTAGCATCTAACTCACAACCCTGTTGTTAGGATTAAATGAGATAATGTATGGAAATCTCCTAGTGTACTCATTTATTCATTCATTTGGTAGATATTTATTGAGTAGCCGGGCACTTTTCTAGGTATTGGTGACATAGCAGTGAACAAAAAAGGCAAAATCTCTGTCCTAATTAAGTTCATATTCTACAGAGACATTATATTTGCACTGCCTGAGAAGATAGCCACTAGCCACCTGTGGCTGTTTAAATTTAAGTTAATTAAAATTAAATAAAAGTAAACATTTCCTCAGCCACATTAGCCACATTTCAAGTGCTCCATAGCTAATGTGTCCAGTGGTTACCTCTTGGAGGACTCGGGACATTACCATCATTGCAGAAAGTTCTGTGGGACAGTGCTGCAATAGACAAACAGGTAAATGTGGATATACTGTGTCAGGGGATGATAAATGCTGGGGGGAGAGCACGAAGCATAAGGGATGCTGAGCTGGGAGTAGGGGTGGAGTTGTTATTACAGAAAGAGTGGTCAGGGAAGGCTTCTCCAAGGTGGTAACATTTGAGCCGGCGCTTTAAGATGGAGACGGTGGAAGCCATGCTAACATCTGCGGGGAAAGCATTCTAGGCAGAGGGAATAGCAAGGGACAGCCTCTGCAGCAGGAGCACAGGAAGATCCCATTGATTCAGCACTAGCAGGAAGACCAGTATGGTTGGAGGGGAGAGAGAGAGAAGTTACGATGCAAACTTGAAAAGAAGCTTGGGAAGGGGGTGGTGATGGGGGGAGGTTGGAACGCCTTATATAGGAAAAGGACTTTGAATGTTACTCTGAGTGAGATGAGAAGTCATTGGAGGATTCTGAGCAAAGGAGCAACATGATCTGACCTACATTTTAACAGGACCACTCTGACTGCTGTGTGACAAATCAACTTAGAGGGCATTCAAGGGCACTGTTTTTCCAGTGTAGACAGGAGTTGGTAGTGGCTGGGAACACAGGGATTAGGGGAGAAGATGGTGATAAATGATCAAATTCTGGATATATTTAGAGTGTAGACTTGACAGAACTTGTTATTGGATATGGAAGATGAGAAATAAAGAGGAGTCAAAGATGATTCCAAATCGTTCAGTCTGAACAGTGACATGACGGACTTATCATCTGTTGAGTCAGAAGCTGCTGTAGGCGGGTCAGGGCTGAGGTGAAGGGGATGGAGACTGCCATTTTGGGTATTAGTTCAAGATGACTCCTAAACATCACGTAGCGATGAGAAATAGGCATTTGAATCCAAAAGTCTTATTCAAAGAAGAGGTCTTAGCAGGAGATAGAAATTTGTGAGTCAACAACATACGGATACTGTTAACCCAAAAGACACCATCCGATCTACAGTTATTGCTTAGTGAATGGACAGCATCTTACTCATAGCTGCTGCCCAATAGTTACTAATGTCCACAAACAGGGAAATAGGAGTTAGAGAGGAGAAAAGCTTACCGAGATCACAAAGCAAGTTAGAAATGAAGCTGGCATTAGAACCCCAGTTCCCCTTCTCCCCGTCCTGTGCTCTTCCCCACAACTCATACTGGTATATTTTTCTCTGCAATTTCACCTGCCTCTCCATTGACAAGATTCGGGCCATCTTGCCTGAAAATCTCACTGTACTGATGCCGTGAGGAAGGCTCTGTAGAGCTGAGGGGACTCAGTGGCCCAGGTCAAGAGTTTGCTTTCTCTACCCAAATTCTCTTCTGCTTCTCCATGGGGCAAGCAATTCAGGAGTAAGGAGAGGGATTCTCCAGGCTAACCCCTGTGTCTCTGCAGAATCAGGCAGGGACTAGGCTTTCTAACCATCATTCCCTCCTTATCCTTTAGTTGGGAGCCTATATTCAGACACATTTTTTCCAACCTTTACATAGGCCTACTAGGGAAGCTATTCAGAAGATGTGATGCAACTCTAGTGTACCATTGGACCAGACAGCTGAATCTTCTTTCTCTTAATTAAAACATTTAGACTTTAAGGCACTGACACCCTAAGCAGTATCCCCTTATCCCCAACACACACACACAGACACACACACACACACACGCGCGCACACACACACACACACACACACACACACACACACACACATACTCACGCACTCAGCCCCTTAGAGTTGAAGATGTTGCTAGAATCCACTGGGTTGACCTTCTCAACTTTATCACTGATGATACTGATACCCAGAGAAGAAAGATAAAAGGAACAAAGTCACACACACAGATGGCAGAGCCAGGATTCAAACCTAGGATCCTGTGCTCCTAACCAATGCTTCTCAAGCCCTCAGTAGGTCTACAGCAAGGCCTGAGATTCTACTTCCCTAAAAGTCTGTCAGCTGTTGCTGATATTTCTGACCCAGGTACTACCCTTGGTACAACAAGGCTCTAAACTCTTCTTCCCAAATAGTCCTCTCATGTTCTAAACAAACAGCGAGAGGCCCAGTCGCCGTATTTGTTAATTCATTATTTATCTTGACAAAGTCATGCTTACTTTTATCACTTTATCTCCTGCCTCTATTTGTCACATACCGTGAGCTCTAGGTCCACTGATACCCGCACTTCCCTGAAGGCACCATGCCTTTTCATGCCTGCATCCCTTTCATGGGCTGTTTTCCTCCCCCTTGAAATGTCTTTCTCCTCCTTTTACTTGGAGACCAGGGGCTCTTTTTGTTGTTGTTGTTGTTTTGTTTTTGTTTGTTTGTTTGTTTGTTTGTTTTGCGGTACACGGGCCTCTCACTGTTGTGGCCTCTCCCATTGCGGAGCGCAGGCTCAGCGGCCATGGCTCACGGGCCCAGCTGCTCCGCGGCATATGGGATCCTCCCGGACCGGGGCACGAACCCGTGTCCCCTGCATCGGCAGGCGGACTCTCAACCACCGCGCCACCAGGGAAGCCCCAGGGGCTCTTTTTATTTCCATTTCATGAAGCCCAAACATCCTTCCTCTCAGAGGCATTCATGACTCGCCACCCCCAGCCCTGACCAAATTCAGGGGTCCTCCTCTCTGCTCTCATAGCCTCCGTGCCTCCCTGTGTTATAGTCCTTGCCCCCTGGGCCGTCATTGTTCTTTCCTCGCCTGGATCTACCACCAGACTGTAAGCTTTGCTAGGGGCTGGAGAGGGGGATTCAAAGCATGTGTTTTGCTCATCTGTGTATCTTTAAAACTTATCATTATACTGACATATAATTCATTCACAAAAAAAAAAAAAAAAATGAAAGGGGGAAGGAGGGGGGAAGGAGGGAGGAAAGAAGGAAATTTCCCTTCCCATGCTCCTTGAAAAATTTGTATTCACCAATTTTCAGCTTCTTCCTCCATACCCACTTACATATAAACTCAGATTAAATATTTTCCAGCACTAGAGAAATTGGGTCACCAAGAGCTGTCCAGTAGCCACACCAGCTAGAGTCTCACCCTCCCATTCAGCTACATACATTCCCAAGAACATTCCCTTTGCATTCTCCTCTCTGCTCACGTTCACAATCCTCCCACCCCCCAAACACCCTATGCAGAGTTTTACCTTCTGACTAGAGTTCAGGCTCTTCCCCCTACCTGAAATTTCTTCTATCCTTTAATTATCTACTTTCCAAAATTCTATTTACTTAATTACCTCTCATTTCCTCTCTGTAGAATGGATGACTTCTACAGTATCCCCAGAGTTTTCTGTTGACTAGAAATTTGATTAAAACGTGAGTTATTATTTGGAAACTGCAATGCTAAAATGTAAGCTCCTTCCAGCTTACTGCTGTATCTTATTTATCCTTCAGCAGAGCACCTTGCTGTTGCAAATCACAAGACATAAATGGATGGGGTGATCTACACATAAGGAGTGGAAATAGGAACATAAGTTCCCTGAATATATTTTCATGGAGCTTGATTCAAACTATGTAAAATTTATTTCAGTTTGTTAAATACGTTCAAGCAATATTTTCTTAATTCTACAAATGCATTAAGTCTTGTGTGTCAAGTGCTATGAGAAATCACAGACAAACTGGACAATGTTCCTGCCTTCATGGATTTCACATTTTTGCAGGGATAAAAATAATACACTCCTCTACAGCTATTATAAAAGACACAATGTAGAATAAATCAAGAACAGGCATTTATAGAGTACCTCATGCCTGGAGAAAAGGGAGAAATGTATTCTAGATGGGAATTTCAGGAGATCTATCATGGAAAAGATGACCTTTTAGCTGAGCCTTGTAGAATCAGTAGGGAGTATGAATAAAAGGTGCTTGAGCAGAGGAATCTTGATGATGGAGAAAGAGAGGAAGTAAGTCTAGAGTGATTCCCAGAACCAGAGAGCAGCATAGCTGGGCTGGCCTCTG